AAAAAAAAAAAAAAGCAATCTTGAGAGAAACTAATTGTAGACCTTAGAACTGCTTTCTTTCATCTTTAAGTTAAGAAGAAGCTGAAATTTGCTTAAGAGGTTCTGTGGAACCATAATGTGATCCCAGAAGTAGACAGCAGTAGTGCTGAGTCATAAAGTCAGAAAATGTTGAATGTTTGAAAGGAGGGTCAAAGCAGGTAGACGATGCTTCTTTGAAAACGTACTATCTGCAAATGCAAGCAGTAAGCAAATTTCCATCATCATGGATTTGCACATGTCATGCTGAAGATCCAAGGAAGGGTAGCCTGAGCTAATGACATATAGTTATGTGCAATGTTCATTTTTACTGTTTTGAAGTGAGTGACATGTTATTAATGGGCAATTTAGAATGCTATATTTGTTTTCTTGAACATAAATAGATATACTTAGAAATTGAATCTTCCCTTTTTTTCATAAGGCCTTAAGATTCTTTACTAGGAATTCTTCTGTGACAGGAATTTTGAGGCCAGGGATAGTATACCATGCTGCGCTTCAAGCACCATGAATTAAGGCGCCAGATAAACTTGGGATTTGTGATAATCTATAGGACCTGGGTTGAAGGCCTGGTTTTCAAAACTGGTAGCTTTTGCATGTATTTATGAAAAAGGTTTTTCACTGCTTCAAGCAGTTAAATATGAAAATTAATAAGGTAACTACACACCATTTAAAAGTATCTATTTAATAAAGCAGGTCTTCTAATAGTTTTTCAATACTTTATTAATGTTGTTTAATGATGGTTTAAAAATAAAACTTAAAATAACATAAACTCTTTAAGCTTATCACTGCTTAAATCATGTAGTAGTGATCTTATCTATGGTTTAACTGAACGTTCCCCACTTCCCTGAAAACCACATTTTGACTAATACTCATCATAATTCTGGTACTCCAAATAATAGTTGTAGGCAAGGGCAGCAAAGCATCTTTCCCTCATCCTGCCTTTTTCTGAGTAAGCAGTTTGTAGCTGAGGTATTCCCTATGTACTTCCATTCTATACCGCTCCATCCATTTCTGTTCTGTAAGTCTGGATCTGGTCTTCTAACCAAAATCAGAGGAAAGCTTGGCCCTCTCTGGCCTGTTGCTGCTGAGAACAGGGCAGGAGCTATTGCCAGTGTACCTTAAATGTGAGTCATTCTCAACTTGTAGTAAGATTTTCTCTTGACCTTTTCTACATTTCACAGCCATTCAAACAGATCTTCTCCATCAGAGTTATAAACTAGTGGAGTTTTACTCTAAAATCTGAGATGTTGCTGCATCATCAGGTCATTAAAGCCAAATGCCATTGTCTCTCTCCAAAGAGGGGGTCTTTTCTGCTTGGACGTATCTCAGGGTATCTGCAGAAGAGAAAATGAGCAGCAATTCGGACTTGAACTGTTCAGCAGACATCTTGGCAAACATCTTGGCAAGGTGCCATCTGCAGATGTTGATGATCCAGTTTTGGTCCTTTAATGCCTCTTTACTTCCTGTTGGCTTGTGTTAGTCCATCTGTATTACTATAACAAAGTACCTGAGATTGGGTAGTTTATACAGAAAAGAAATTTATTTTCTTATTGTTCTAGAGGGTAAGAAGTCCAAAATCATCAAGGTGCTGACAGTTTCAGTGTCTGGTAGGGGCCTGGTCTCTGCTTTCAAGATGGTGCCTTGAGCGCTGCTTTCTTTGGAGGGGATGCTTTGTCTTTACATGGTGGAAAGCAGAAGGACAAACGAGCCTAGCTAGTTCCCTCCAGCCCTTTTATAAAGTTGCTTATTCCATTCATGAGGGCTCTGCCCTCATGACTTAATCACCCCCTAAAGGCCCCATCTCTTAATACTATTGCATTGGGGGTTTAAGTTTTAACATGAATTTTGGAGGGGACACAAGCCTTCAAACCATAGCATGGTTCTACCAATATTTTTTTGCTTTCTGCCAGATGCTTTATTAGTCCTCTTAGGATGAGACCAACTCGGAGGCAACATTGCTGATTCTTTTTCAAATAGTTCAATGTAAGGACATGAGTCTTTCATTCATCTTTGAATATTTGGAGGATATGATCTTTATTTTGGTTGCAAAGAACTTCTCTCCAGTTCTTCTACTTTCAGGAATGTGTAAATGGAAATGAGTTCTGGATGGGTTGATGATGAGATGGAAAAGCAGAGGGAAGGATAGGCCACTAAAATGTGAGTCCCAAAATCATTTTCTGTTTGGGAAAAACTTGAATTCTAGAGAATGTGTGTTAGCTTCATCATCTCCCTTATCTATTATCCAAAGCAGATGCTCTAAGTCTTTTGTCTCATCAAACTTCTTTGTCATTCCTATACATTTAGGAAATGACCTTGTTCTCTACCAAAATAAAACAACAGATCTGAACTCACTTGAGTTCTCTTTTTCTTCCGCCTTAAATCAACATGCACAGCCATCCTTGCCTCCTTCCTGCTTGCCAGGGAAAAAAAAAAAAAGTTACCCTAAGACCAGTCCCTCGAACAGTACTCTTAATCCCACCCTTCTACTTATAGGACTTTTTCTGTCAATTATCATCATCCTCTCCTGTATCTTAAAGCTCTCTTCTCTTGACTCCTTCCTCTTTCTGGTGCTCAGTTTTTTCCCATCCTAAACACCCTTTCTCCTCGGTGCTGCTGCCTTAGGCACAAATGTTCTGCAAGAGTAATCTGTAGACCCTGGCCCTACTCACTCAACTCCCATTCTGTGCAATCCAGTTTCATTCTCACCACCATCCCATCCGTTCTCTGAAACTACTCTCACGTAAGTCTCCGGTGACTTCCATCTGCCAATTCCAAAGCCTTTCTATTTTTGTCTGAACTTTTGTTGCATCTGCCATTTCTGAGGCAATAGTCATTCACAATCCATCACTCAGAGGAAGGCTCTAATGAGTTTTAACTTTGATGCCCAGGGTTCAGGTGTGTTCACTTCATACCATGGGGTTTTCTCTTGTTTTGTTATGAAATTTGTTTTTCACTGTAAACAGCTGAATCTAATTAGAGTGGTGGTAGTTTCTGTTCTCACTGTCCAAATTGCTAAGTTTGTATGGTGACTCTCAGGGGACCACAAGTTTTCCTTCCCCCTCACCCTTTTGAAACAAAAGTAGGACAATTTGTTAAAACTAGTTTAAAAAATAAAACCTTACCTTGCATTTGTGCAAAAATCGTATCACCCAGCTTGCCTTCTTTTTCTTTCCTCAACTTACTTCTTAATTACTTTGGTTTTGAACATGATCGTTGCAAAGAGCTGCCTCTCTGGAGATGTTGAAAGGACTATACCAAAATGTGAGGCCACTTCCAGTTCCTAGATGGGTCATGACACATAGGAAGTGCTCAACAAATGTTGGTTGGATGAATAAATTCATCCAAGCAGCCCTGAGAGATCACATGCAGTTCCAACTGAAGACCTGGAAACATGCCCATCTTATATCCCAGTTGGTTGGCTTGAAAGGCCTAATTATGAGCAAAATGCTTAGGTCTGGATGCTATTGTAGTCCCTTCAAGACTTTGTAAATAGCTTTTTTTTTTTTTTTTGGTAGATTTCCCAAAGGGAGAAAACAGTATGAACTATTTAAAAGTCAAGTTGAATTAATTTTTGTCCCCTAAAACCAGGAAAAACATCAATTTTATTTTTCTTAATTAGAAGTTAATATATTTAAGTAGTTCGTACGGTCTCTACTCTTTACCCCCTGCTGTGTTTCTGGAGAGGGGAGTCTTTGCTTCTAGTTTACATGGAGCATTGATGCAGTAAGCAAGTAGGCACTCTGTGCATTTGACTCTAGAATTTAGGTTCTGGAGTGTCCTCTGGTTTAGTGGGGTTATGGAATTGCTATTGAAGATCTAGCTGTGAATCTCAGGGACCACTGGAAACCTGTTCTTGACCCTGCTCCTTAGTCTTCTCTGTCAACCCTGTATCATCTCTGTATTTAAATTATCTGAGCTAATGGAACTGACTGGCTAATTCTGTCCTATTGGCATCTGAAACTAACAATATATTTCTCATCTCTTGTTCACAGAGGGACCTGTCAGGGCACAAGAATATTGTGGGTTACATTGATTCTAGTATCAACAATGTGAGTAGCGGTGATGTATGGGAAGTGCTCATTCTGATGGACTTTTGTAGAGGTATGTATATGAACCATCCCCTTAAGCTGTCATTTCTCTAGCATTTTGATTGTCAAGGTTAGGCGGGTCATTTCACTTAATGTGCACTGCACTCTATAGTATGTTCTGGTTTTACAGATGAGAAAACTAAAAGATACAGTCTGCTGTCAACTCTTTGTTATTCTTATAATGGTACAGACAGTTGAAAGTGTAGATAATATAAACCTCCATTTTTGTTGGGTTTGGGAAGGTTTGGTGTTTGTGTATAAATGAGGATGTATAAGAATGAGAATGAATGTTCTTTGTGATGCTATATAACAAATGATGAAGGCGCATAATAAAGACTCAAGTCCAGATGGACAAAAGAAACAGTACAGCTTCCCCAACTCCCTCACTTGTGTGTTATCTTTCCCACTTACCATCATTCGTGTGTTACGGGGTAAAAGAATCCTTTTCGTCTAATGGAAGTGACCCTCCTCTCCTTGCTCTAAAGCTATAATTCCTAGTAAGTTGAGGCTATATTCAAATGATGCAGCTGTTAACAGTGGAGTAAAGTCATTGAAAGCTTCAAGTTTCAAATTCATCTTGGGAAATTCAGACTGTAGCATGAATTTTTTTCATAGTTAATTGCATTTTATCGAACCATTGTTTGGAGGTTTGGCTTAGGTCAGTGCCTTACTGTTTGGTGCTGTGTTTTGTAATCACCCTTAGTTCCATTAACATTTTCCCTACACTTAAGATACTATCCATAGGCCAGGCGCGGTGGCTCACGCCTGTAATCCCAGCACTTTGGGAGGCTGAGGCGGGTGGATCACAAGGTCAAGAGATCAAGACCATCCTGGTTAACATGGTAAAACTTTATTTCTACTAAACATACAAAAATTAGCTGGGCGTGGTGGTGCACACCTGTAGTCCCAGCTACTTGGGAGGCTGAGGCAGGAGAATCACTTGAACCCAGGAGGTGAAGGTTTCAGTGAGCCAAGATCATGCCACTACACTCTAGCCTGGCAACAGAGTGAGACTCAGTCTCAAAAAAAAAAAAAAAAAGATACTATCCATAAAATAAATATGTTGCTAATCCCAAAAATATGTGATGTTAACCAGTAATTTCAGCCCTTACTGTATTAACTATTTACCTGATTTCCTAAAGTACCACCAAATTTGAACTTGACTGTTTGTTTCCTCCTGCTCATTCGTTTTTGGATACTAAAATGTTTAGCGATCAGGCAGTAGGAGCATCCAGGCATCTGGATAATGTTGCAAGTGAGGGCATCAATCTTTTGGTCCTGGAGATTAATTGTTGGTGGTACCATTTCTGCAAGCCAAGCAGTAAGTAGTGAAGCCAGAGAGACTAAGCTGTTCCTGAAGTTCAGACTATAAAACCATCTTCTTCCTGTTCCCTGGACCTGTTTTGCCATCTGATTCTTACTAAAAGATATGGCAAGTTGAGGCTGTGGCCATGTCTCATATACAATGGACACGGTATAACCAGGCAACTACAGCAGGACCATATTATCAGTTCTACTAATCTCGAAGACATAACGAGGGCAGCTCACATCTGGGGTGCTTTATAAAATAAAGAAACGATTTTTGATGCATTAGAGGAGACACTGAATTATAAGGAAACAAACCCCAAGCTGGGAGTCAAGACAACTAGGTTTTAATCCTGGCTCAGTCAGTGGTTAGTCCAGACCACTTCTCTTAGACTAAATGACAAGTCTGAATGTTTATAACCTCTCCTTTGTCCTGTACGTACCCCCTCAGGTGGCCAGGTGGTAAACCTGATGAACCAGCGCCTGCAAACAGGCTTTACAGAGAACGAAGTGCTCCAGATATTTTGTGATACCTGTGAGGCTGTTGCCCGCCTGCATCAATGCAAAACCCCTATTATCCACCGGGACCTGAAGGTACAGACCACGCTCTTTCATGACGTGCATTCTTACTGAATATTTTCTGTCTGCCCCAGGGATGGAGTAGATACTGTGGGGATGTGAGAGAAATGTAAGGTATGGTCCCTGTTTTTATGTTTATATTCTGCCTGAGGAGAGAAAATAACAAAGGAAAAAGTACAGTACAGGTATAAGTTTTATTACTTAAGTAGCCTCCAGAAATTCTTTATAATTATCAAATGCCTGAGCCTGTGTTGTTTCTGTTTTTCCTGATATACTCCCCCCACTTTTTCAGGATTGTGAAAAATAATACTTTTAATTTAAATACTTAGTAAACAATGATGCTTGGTTTTTAAAGTCTTATTTCATATTTTGCAAACTCAACGAATTGATTTTTTTTTAGTTGTCCTAACTGCCATCACCATGCACCGTGCCTTTCATATTGTAGTCACTTGACAGTGTTTGTTGAATGGAATTGGCACCTTGTTAGAGTTCAACTTAGCATGTATCAAGCACCAATTATGTGCCATGTACTCTACTACATTTTATGTACAGTGTCTCGTCAGGGGGAGACATTCTTTGTTACATTTTATAGTTGAAACTAAGAAGCAGAGAGGTTATGTGACTTGCCTAAGGTCATATAACTAGGAAGGACAGTGCCAGAATTTGAATCCT